CGGAGCGGCGCGACAGCCATTGCTGCTGCGGAAGCGCTGGGCCTGACGGAGACGAGCGACCGCGACGCCATTGTGCAGGCAGAGGAAGCCGGGCGACGAGCCGCCCTTGGGGCCGCGCGGAGCGGCGCGACAGCCATTGCTGCTGCGGAAGCTCTGGGCCTGACGGAGACGAGCGGCCGCGACGCCATTGTGCAGGCAGAGGAAGCCGGGCGACGTGCTGCCCTTGGGGCCGCGCGGAGCGGCGCGACAGCCATTGCTGCTGCGGAAGCGCTGGGCCTGACGGAGACGAGCGGCCGCGACGCCATTGTGCAGGCAGAGGAAGCCGGGCGCGGATTAATTTGCGATTCTTTTTATGAGGGTTGTTCCGTGGTTGGTGTCCATGATTTTTGTGGCGGTGCGGAGGTGCGTAGGGGCGTGAAAACTGCAACGGATACGACTGCTTCATGGCCTTCACGCGTTGGTGGGTTGAACCTGGTTGGTGCAGAGTGCGTTGGACGGTGCGCCCCTGCTGACGCCGCTTTACCTGCCTCTGAGGAATGTCATGTGAGTGTGGCCGCTGCTTCTTCTGCGGGTGCTCTGGGAGTTGAGAAGAACGCGTTGACGTCTGTTTCTGAAGCAAACGCGTTGGAGGGTTGGGGCGGCGCTGGGTTGGCGTCGTGGGCGGCTGGGGCGTTGCCCGCTGAGGTGGAAGTGGAGGCGGCAGATGAGGGCCGACGGATGCGTGAGCTCGCGGTACATCCTGCGCTTCGTGCTGCGGCGGTTCGCACGACGAGGCTTCCACATGGTGAGCCGCTCGGGTACGACTCCGACGATGACATACCGATTCCGCAGTGGTACACTTTTTGGGGCTGCCTGATTACGCCGTTTGCCTGCTGCATGGGTCGGCGTCCGGTGCATGTGTCGCACCTCGAGGATTCTGCGTCGGAGGATTAAATCGCCTCACAAGGCCGTGGTGGTTTTGCCGACGCTCCTGTTGATGGGTGTTTGACGCTGTTTGTAGCTTTGGCTGAGCAGTTGAAGTGATGTATGTTGGGTGGTAAACAGATTTTTTGCTGCTTTGGCACGTTGCTTTAGCGTGTGTTTCATCACGCTACGATTCCCCTTTCACGTGAGTTTTCGCGTCATCTCTGCTTCTGATATATATATATCATCTCGGTCGTTCCCTGTGTATGTGCCGGTGGCGTTGTTGGAACACGGCTCAGCGGTCTCTCTCTTTGCGCAGAGAGATGGGGGGAAAAAAATTTTGTTATTTTTTCTGGAGTTTAAAGGAGATTTCCGTGGATATTTTCTGAAAAGCATTCTGGCGTCCTTTGCTTTGTTTTGTTTTCCCATTGTTTGCCTTGTCGTCTCACACCCCGGGCTTTAGTTGTTGTTTTTGTGTTTTTGTTTTTACTGTGGCACCTGGACCTGCCGCTGACGGCTACCTGCTCTCCGCGGCTGCCGCCACTGCTTTTGCGTAGAGGGTTACGTGCGCGACTGACGCTCCGTGCGCCAGCATGCAGGCCAATCTCCCGCCGCCGCCGCTGGTAAGCATCACGTTTAGCGGGCAGCCTGCCTTGTCGACGGGTGTTGTGAACCTCCGGGCGCTGCTGGGGAGTGCCGAATACGTGCTTGTGGGGACGGTCCAGGCGAGGACGCGTGCGGGTAGGGCGGCGACTGCCGACGCCGCAGAGGATCCGGATGACGCCTACACCGAGGAGGAAGCGGAGGATGCCAGCAGCGGCGAGCACAGTGGCAGGCCCGCTGGCTCTGCGCGACGGCGGCTGCAGCTGTGCGAACACGCCGGACTGCCGCTGGGGTGTTTTTTCGTGGAGGCTGGCGGCAGCTACGAGGTGGTACGGCGCGACGACATCCAGTGGGGGTCGCTGAGTGGCGTCCCGCGGGGCCGCGGGGCCGCGGCGGCGGTAGCGGCGGAAGCCATGGAGCCGCCCAAGGCGTATGCGGACCGTGGGGCGGAGGCGGGGGAAGCACGCAAAAAGCACAGGCGGGAGGGCAAGCGGCAGAAGCGCGAGGAGCGGGCGGAAAAGGCAGAAAAGGAGAAAAAGAGCAAGCGGGAGCGGCATCGCAAGGAGCGGCGGGCGGCGGTGGCGGCCGCTGTCACAGCCGCAGCCGCAGCTGGGGCACCGGACACTGGCAAAGACGGGGACAACGGTGGCAGCAGCGATGGCAGTGCGCGGGGCGGGAACGAGCAGGCGGGGGCCGGCAAGGGGGCACAGCCAGGCGCCGGGGCGGAGAAGACAACAGGCGATTACGCGGCTGACAGCGCCAGGGCAGCGATGCAGCGTGTGCATCTGGAGACGCCTCCCTCACCGACGCTGCCGGAGCCCGAGCCGGGGCCGGAAAAAGCGAAGGAAAATAAGACGGCGGGGGCTTCGAGGAGGAAAACCGTGTCGCCCCCGCCCCTGGACGCACAGGAGCCCGCCCCGGTGCCGCGGCGGCGGCAGCGTCCACTGGACAGCCTGAGCAGTAGCCCCTCCCGTGAGCGCGACAACGGGCAGCAGCAGAAGCCACCGGTGGGGGAGGCGGTGGCAGAGGCAGAAGAACAAAAAGTAACTGGACGGAAACGAAAGGGTGCAAAGGGGCGGACGCGTTGCGACAGTGGGGTCGCTGCGGAAACGTCGGAAGGCGCCGCGTCGCCCTTCCACAGCCATGCATTGGCAGCTAACACGCATGTGGGGCCGCACCTGTCGGGCGTGGTCGACGCTGCGGCCAGCGAATCGGCGAGTGCAGCTGCGCCTGCCAACGCCACGGCAACTGCCTCCGTCACGAACGGCGTTGAGGGGATTAGGAAGGAGGAATCTCCCCTGCAAAAAGGATTAGAAACAGCGACGATTGAAGCGGACGAAGAGCAGGAAGAGGAAGTTACGAACGCGGATGGTCGTGTTTCCGCGTACATGCTGCGTAACGGCTGGACACCGCAGGAAAGCCCTGCCTTGGGGTTTACCTCCGTCGACAACACCCTGTCGCAGGATTTCAGTCTGGACTCGTCCTCCATCGCCTCCTCCGCGGACTACGTGTACTAGCGAGACTGGGATTCCAGTAGAAGAAGGAAAGAGAAGGTAATGGTGGTGGTGGGGGGGGGGTGTATTACTTGCAACGGTTTCTCTGTGATCCTAAGGGTACCGATTCCTTTGTTACAAGCCGTTTAAATAATTTAAAAAAAAGACTGCAAATGAGTAAGTGAGGAAGCAACCAGGGAGGGAATGGGCTAACTTGTTAGTTGTGCTGCCGTTGCGTGATGCCGTGCGGTATTTGTGTGCATACACATGCATGTTCTCTTCTGACGCCAGTTATTGCTCGGGCTGCCGATGTGGTTGTGGTTCTTGCCGTGAAGTGAGATGCTGCGAAAACAAGTGCGATATCTTCTCTGATCCCTGCATACGCATCTTTGCATTTTCTTATTTATTTATGTATCTGTTCTCTCCTCCTACTACTTTTCTCTCTGTCTCCCCCTCTGCCTCTGTGCGTGTGTGTGTTGACCGGTGCTTCTTCCTTGCTGAGGCGACAGTGGCACGGACAAAGCACGCCGTGCGGTGTGAGGCGCGAGGAAGGAAGTGAGGCTTAGCGAGAGGCAGAAGAAGGAGAAAAGGAAAAAAAGAGGGCAATAGTGAACAGCAGCGGGAAAATGAATAACGCCTTGGATCCGGCAAAGGCGCCGCAATTTCTCGACATGATGCTGCGGCGCAACAAGATTGTCATCATCTCAGCCACTTACTGTGAATACTGCACAAAGCTCAAGATGCTTCTGATTGAGATGAAGCACCGCTTTGTGTCGCTCGAGATCAACATCATTCCTAACGGGCGGGAAGTGTTTGCGGAGGTCGTTGGGCGAACGGGCGTGCACACGGTGCCACAGTTGTTTCTTAACGGCAAATACCTCGGCGGCTATGACGAGCTCGTCGCGCTGTACCGCCGTGGGGAGCTCTCGGCGACGTTAGAGCGGCGGTGAGGGACGGACGCCGAGGAAGGGAGGGGGGAGAAGCAAGACAAAAACAAACAAAACTGAAAAAAAAAACCAAAAGGAAGGATCTGGCAGTGGCCGGGCGAAGTCGTCGTCGCTATCTTTTTTTTTTTGCCTATTTCTTTGTCTCTGCGTGGGTGCTTTGCGGCGCAGCGGGTCGTCGGCCTGCTTCCCTGCCGCTGCCACTTGTGGCGACCTCGACCCCCCGCCTGCCCGCCTTCTGCGGGCCCCCACAATTTGATGTGTGTGTGTGTGTGTGTGCCTTTTGCCTCTGCCGGGCCCCTCCCGTTCCTTCCCGTGCTTCCTTCCTTTTCCCTCTCTCTCCCTGCCGCGTGCGTCCGTGAGACACCTCTCCTAGTTTCCTCCGGGCCGCCTGCCAGCAGCGATGAGTCTCTACTCCGGGAGTGACTCCGAGTACTTCGCCGCCTCCGACTCCGACGCAGAGGCGGGGCCCGCCCCTCCGCGCGGCGACGCCGGCCGCGACGAGGCTGCGCCCGTGCAGCAGCCCAACTGCCTTGTCGTGGACACCAGCGCCTTCCTCGAGACGGGAATTGCGCGCCAGCTGTCGGCGGTGGCGTCGCGGCACATGGTAATCGTGCCGACAAAAGTCTTTATTGAGCTGCAGCGATTGAGTAAAGAGGAGGGCCAAAAAAAGGCGACGGAGGTGCTTCAAATAATTCAGTCGATGGAGGCGCTCAGGAACGCGGGGAATGAAAGAAAGGGCGGCGGCGGCGGCGACTGTGCCGACTTCGCCCCCGGACTCCGCTTGCAGCGGGCAAAAGAGAGGGACACCTACGTGCTGCGGGCCGCGCGCAACTTCGACGACCACATATTGTCATGTGCCTGTTACTTTGCCCGGCACCAGGCGCAGACGCAGGTTAGCTTGCTTACTTGCGATGAATTGCTTGCGCTGAAAGCATATGCAGAGGGAGTGCCCGCGATAAAAAGTCTGGAGGACTTATAACGCCCCGGGAGCCGGTGGAGGAGGTTGACTAGTCGTACGCTTTGCAACACGCAGTTATTAATTCAGTGCTTCAAATCGCGCCGTTTATTTGTCTTTCCTTATGCATGGGCGTCTCAGATCTTTTCCACGTTTCCCCCTCACTGTTTATTTCTGCATTTGTGTGTGTGTGTATGTTTGTTTCTTTGGGGCGCTGTCCCCCGCTAAGGGAGGGGAAGGCAAGAGGTGGAGGCCTCATCCTGGCATGAACAGTCGTGGCGGAAGCGGGTGAGAAACGCATTGCTCTTCCCTGCCCTCCTTTCGAGTGGTTTCCTTTGTGCTTGCTGTTCTTGCCGTTGTTTGCTTGTTTGTTTTGTTTTGTTTTTCGCGCCGTGGGCAGAGAGAAGGGATAAGGTGGATCAAGTAACGGCCGTAGAAACTGGAAGGCGGAGGTGGGACTTGCCGCGTCTCTGCCAAGCCGACGCCAATGTCTCACACGATGGGATACGGCGTGGCGCATGCACAGCCGGGGCAGGGGCCGCAGCAGCAGCGGATTGCGCCCGCCGCGCTCGAGGCGTATCCCGCTCGCGTGGACAGCAGAAACGAGAATAGCGCTGGTGGCTTTACTTACGGCGGGGTGGCTGGGAAGAGGCCCGGCCTTGTGTGCCTGCCGCCGGAGACCCTTGCCTTGTGGGGCCTCGCCAAGCGGCTGCCCGAAGAAACGCCCGAGGAGGGTCCACCGCGGTTTCGTCGGGCCCCCTTCCCTGCCGCTGCTGTCGCTGGCGAGGCGGGGGCCACGCGCGCGGTGGCGGCGGTCGCTCTCACGCCCAAGCAGGAAACGCCACTACCGCTAGGGATCTCGCCCCTCCGTCTGCGCAGCCCTGCCCAAAGCGGCAACCAACTAGTGCGGGACCCACTGGAGGTCCTGCAGTTGTACTCACGGCGCTGCGAGGAAGTGGAGTCGCGGACGGGGGGCGTCCCTCAAGCGGGGGCCCAGGAAAGTGGGACGACCCACGCTGCCCGCGCTGTCCCAGACACTCGCGCCGTTTGGAACGGGCATCACGAAGTAGGACAAGCTGCTGCAGAGCGCAGCGCGGTGGCTGAGGCGTGGGCGCAGCGTTACGCACTGCCAACTGCGTACCCGCAGGCAAATCAAGCCCCACCCAAGAGCAAAGCCGCTGCTGCAGCCACGCTGCGTGCCAAGAGGGCGGAACGCGTCTTCAACACTAAACGAATTGGAAAAAGCGGTGGGAGAAGTTGGAAAGGGACGAACGAGATGGAGAAGCAGTTCCCGGTGAAGCAACCGAGCCCGAGTCGTGTCGTTTCCTGGCCTGCGTTTGGTAGTGCGCCGGTGCGAGAATCCCACAGGATGCCGCGGCTGACGGAGTTAAGGGCATTTGTCGCTGGGAAGGAAGGGGCCCCTCCGCCGCGCGCCAGGGTGGGACATTTGCCCGCGAAGAAGGGTATACCGTCGCGTACCCCCGCCCAAGTTAACTCGCTGTCGTCACGGCTGGAAGAACTAAGGCAGCATGTAGAAAAGTACAATGCGAGCAAAGAGCAGATGGCGGCGCGGCCACTGCCGCTCCAAAACGTGGACATCGCACAAGGTTCCGTGGCGGGCTGGAGTGCTGCTGCCCAAAGGCCTCTTGCCCCTGTCGCGACTTCGGCGGCGAAGATGCAACCATGCGGTGTCGCTCGTGGAATGGTTTCTGAAGCCAGTCCTCACGGACCCCTCCAATTTCCTTGTAATGCAGGACGCGGCGTCGACGCGTTGGTGTCTCCTGCGCCTTTGGCTTCCAATCGTAATCGCCCTCATTTCGTGTTCGACACGTGTAGCTTGCTGCGGGCAGATGAGTCGATCCTGAGATTGGCATTGGAGAGAGGTGTGGTGTGTATTCCCTTTGACGTCGTTGCGGAGCTGGATGGCATAAACAGGGGCAAGGGGAATCGTCAGGGTGGGAAGGCGTACTCCAAGCAACGGCAGTTTGAGGCTCGACGGGTGCGCGACTGGATCAGCGGGGCAATTGAGAGTGGCGCCAACGTGCGGGTGCAGCGCCGCTGCGAGGTGGAGGCATTGTATGACCGCAAGGTTGCGACAAAGGATGACTCCATCCTGGGCTTCGCCGTCTTTCTGGAACAGCAGCAGCTTCCCGTGAAGTTCGTCACCAACGACAAGTTCCTCCGCGTGAAGGCAATCGCGGAGCTGAAGGGAGCCGTCTACGACTTGGACGGATTCGAGCGGCACCTCCTTTACTGATTGATGCACTGGGGAGTAAACCTGGCGTGCATCACGCAAAGGCATGAGGGCGCCGCTGGTGCCGGCGTAGCGGTTGTTCTTTTCCGTTTAAGCATTCAAAACGGAGGCAAGCGTGCCGGTGGCACTAAAATGCGGCGACCAAAACGAGGGGTGCATCATGCCGCTCACACAAACATGCGTCTGAATGTGTGTATGTATGGATATGTGTTTGTTTGTGTGTGTGTTTGGGACGCTCTCATCCCCGCCGTCTCCCCAGTGGCGCATGTTTTTTGTCGTACAGTTTCTTTGTGTCGGTGTTGCCGCTGTTTGCTCGGCCTTCCTCCCCCCTTCCTCCCTCCCTCCCTCGCTCGCTCTCCCGCTGCCTCTCGCGGCGTCTCGTTGTACGTGGCCGTGTCTTTCTCCGCGGCGCGTCCCCCGTCCCGCCTGTCTGTTTCCGTGCATGTACGCGACGCCGCATGCGAGCCCGTTCTCCTGCGTCGAAGTATATTTTCCCCCGCCCGTCTGCGTTGCGCCCCCTGCGGGGAAGCGGCGGCGCGGTGCCCAAGGCGGGCTTCGTGCGGCACAATTCGGCGCTACTGCGGGTGTGTGGTCTTCGCGGGCTGCAAACGCCGCGGCACACTTCCTGCGACGGCACACGCTCATTCCCCGCCTTCTTCTTGCACGCCTGTCACCCACGCGCGTGTGCTCCCCCCATCCTCTTCCCAGCGCCGCAGCGGTGATGACTGCGGGCAGACAACACAACACAACTCAACAAAACACCACACACACAAAAAAAAACTTTTGGCGTGAGCCGCATAACTTCTGCAGCTGAGGACAATGAAAACGGAAGCAATGAAATGAAGACATAACAAAAACTTTTTTTAAAAAAAAGAGAGAGAGAGAGAGAGAGTTATGGTAAGACTAAAGCCGTTTGTTGTACTGGAGAACATTTACATACCTCGAGCTGCCTGGGCGCCGCGCCGGGGGCCATGCACATGCCCCACACACACACACACACACACACACACACACACACATCTATACCTGCCGTGCAAAAAAAAAAGGAAGAAAGTGTGAGGGGGCTGCGGAGCCACACGTGTGCGGTGAAGCAAAATGGCGGCACGTATAAAAGTATATGTGTGTCTGCGGCTGCCCTTTTTCTTTCTTTTACCTGATTCTTTTTTATGTCGCTCCCCACCCCTTCCCTCAAATTTCCTTTTTTTTTTGTTTCTTTGGGTCCCTGCATTCACTCGCTCTCTTGCGGGGGGGGGATGCTTTCTAGTGCAGGGCCTGGCCGCCGGGCCCACCAGCTCGGCCTGCGTTGCAGCTGAGCGGGTGCTGTCAGAGTTCTGCGTGGCGCGTCTCTGGCCCGAGACACGAGGGACGCCGCTGCCGAGACTAACGACGCCACAAGGGCGCAAGCGACGAGGGAGCGGCTGCGGGCGGCGGCCCCCCGAAAGTTTCTCTTCCTGCGTCACGCGGAGCGGCTGCCGTGGCCGCGGGGGAGTTGGGGATGGTGGGCTGGCTTGGGGGAAGCCACCCACGCAGTCACGGCTCTTACGGACCAAGCCAACTGAGAGAAGAACAGCAGCCGTTGGTGTGCCCGCTGGGCAAGCCGCCTGCCAGGGTCATTCAGGACGAATTGCACCGCAGTTCGGGTGGGTCCCACCGCCGCTGTCATCCACAACACACTCTTCGGCACGGCGATGCAAGTAGAGGACATGGCTGATCTTGTGGTCGTCGTTCCTTTCCGTTTTGTTGCTGTTGTTGGTTGTAGCTTTGCTTGTTGTGGCTGTTTTTTTCTCCGTTGTTTTTGTTGTGGGTGTGCTCCGCCTGGGGCGCGAAACTCCACCTCCGCGGCAAGGGACTCTGGCTTTGCTTTCGCCACAGCTCTGGTCGGTTTCGCGCTGCGTAAGAGAAGTGGTGGGGGCGGCTGCGACGCAAAAGGGCCACTGCACACGCACAGCAGGTAGAAGGCGATGATCATACACGGCGGAGCCGCCCAGAAAAGTTTTTCCTCGCCAGAGCAAGGCGTCTCCCCGCGCCACGACAGGCCTCGCGGGGAGGGCCTGGAGCTTAGCACCGTTAGCTTAGGGCTTCGTGAGGGCGGCGAGGATGCGCTGGTGTCGGCTGCCCCGCCGCCCGTGCAGCGATGGGGGTCGTTTGCGGAGTTTGGGGCGGCCGGGGGGCGGGAGCGCGGCAGGGCCTCCCTCGCCCCGACGCCGTCCATGGCGGCGCTGGCCTCGGAGTACCCGCAGGCGTGGAGATGGCGGGAGGCAAGCACGCTGACGCTCGACCCCCGTGAGGGGGAGCGGGGTTGGCAGAGCCTTCGCGCGGGAGATGCGCGGGAGGAGGTGGACGCGGATGCGGCGTCGTCGTCGTCGTCGTCGTCGTCGTCGTTTACATCGGCGCCCATCTCCCCGTCATGCGCGCCGTACGCGTTCACCAGCAACAGGAACCCCGGCGAGGAGGATGCGAGGGGACTGAGTCACGCGGCTTCCAACGCGACCCCAGGATCGAGCGACTCAGAGAACGACGGCGGCTCTCTGACTAGTAATGAAGATGTAGAAAACGACGAGGACGAGGACGAGCAGCAACTGCGCGGGACGGAGTCGGTGCTGCGTCCCTGCTCAAGGAGGAGGGGCACGCTGCAGCAGGCCACCGTTCCCATTTATCGTAGATCGGTATACCGCCGCCTCAGCGACGTGTACGGGCACCCGGATGCGGCGTTCCTCGGCCAAAGCTTTTTTCGGGACAAACACTCAGCTCTAGAGGCGGGGGACTCCTTTCAGCGCAGCCTCTCCAGCCAGGCGTTCCTGCCGTCTCAGATTAGCGGTTGCTCTGCCTTTTACCGGAGCAAGAAGGGGTGGAGCAATTGTGGCTCCTGGATGCGTCGCGGCAGCGGCACCTCCGTGGATCACGGTGTCATGGTGCAAGGCCTGCACATGCAAGAGAGACGTTTCCCACCCCCACGATACGCAAATGTGATGCCTCCACAAGGAGGCGATACGCTTCCTGGGTCCGTGGATAGGCTCTCTTCTGGGGCCCTCCCCCGCCACCCGCTTGCCTCTTCTTATGCGACGTCGGCCCGCCCTGGATTCAGGTCAAGAAGGCCTGTTTGGTTTGCGAACTCCAGGAGCAACAATTCCTGGCAGTACTCCAGCAGCACCGGCGATGAGCCCAAAGGCTGCGACTTTTCGCAAGCCGATCAGCCAGAGGCACCCTCCGATGGGTGGTTGCTGCAGGCCAAGAACAGCATAAAGCGGGTGGACTCGCCTGAGTGGACCGAGGAGGGCCGGCCGCGACCCCCGGTAAATTCGAAGTTCCAATGCATGCCGTATGGTTCACCGCTCCCACATCAACAATTTCCAATCCGGCCGCCACACTCGCCGCATTTTCATTTTCCATTGACGAATGAAAAGCCAGTGAAGGTGTATTCGTCTAGGGGGAAGTAGAACCTGAGAAAGTCCGGAAATACGGGCTGAGTGATGCTTCTTCCCCTTTCGCCCTTTTTGGCCGACGCGGTGTTCCCCATCCACCACTTTTCATTGTAGTTTTTTTTTTATGGGGGCTCAGAGGAAGTGTGTTTGCATGGGCGGCGTGGCCTGCAGAAAGGGGAGGCGTTTTGTGGGGTTTCGGTAAATTAGTTTGAGTCCTTTGCGTGTGAAGCAGTCTCTGGAAAGGCAGACACCGCAAGCGCCGCTGAAAGTCACTGGGTGTTAGTCTTGAAATGTGTAGAGCGGGTTTTTCCTTTTTTTGTTCCAATTTTTTTTATGGTGCTTCGAGTGGGGAGTGGGCAAGAACGGGAAGTTCCCGAGGGAAAACTAAAAGCGAAGGGGGAAAAAGAGAAATAGTGGATATATCCCCTTCTTTGTGGATGAATTTAAATGTGTGGGATGGGGGGGGGGGTACGTGTCAGAGCCCTTTTGCCGTGCAGGCCGCCGACAAAAAGAATTCGATATCTGCCGTGCATGTGTTATTGCATCCCTGCAGGGTGTACATATATATATATATAGCACGCAGTAACGGAAAGGGGAATGTGGTAGAAGATGCAGTCGTCATACGGCAAGCGAGTCGTTCTTTTTTTCCTTTACACACACACACGCACATCCATCCTCCCCTTATCTATATATACGACACCTTTCTTTCTAGTTATTTGTTTTTCTCTGTGATTTGTTTTTTTGCGTGTTTTCCTTGTATGTGTGCCTATTTGCCTACTATGGCCTGACTCCATCGGTGTACAGCCTCGCAGAAGGGGGAAGCTGCGGAGGCCCACTCAACCCAGCCCGCCTGGGAGGCGGAACAGTGGCAGGGCTTCCAGCGCCGCCCCGCTGCGCCTCTATGCCACGCCGTATCAGTGGTGAGGATGCGTCTTGCACACTCCCGCTCTCTAATTGCTCTTGACTCGGTAGGTAACTGGTCGCAAAGAGGGTACAGAGGAGCTTGATATGCATATACATATATTATCCTCATCATTACCATTATTATTGTTACGCTTCTCTTTCCGCTTTTTGCCTCCGTAAGGGGGAAAAGGTAAGGCATCGGCTAATTTGGTGGCTTTGTGAGGTGTTGGTTGGGGGATAAATGATGTGTGTAGATTCGGCGGAGGGGCATGTCTTTAGGTTTGGCTTGGCTAACACGACCGGCATGTGCGTGTGTGAGCCTGAGAGGGGAGTGGTGGCGTGAGGGGTGGGGGAGGTGCCAGTTATTTGTACTTCTCTCTACGCACACATGTAGAGGGCGAGAGATGGAGGTGGGTGCGGGTGCTGGCATTGCACAGCTGCATTGTGGTGTGGATGCGCGTGAGGAGAGGGGCGGGGGAGAGAGAGCGCATGAGAGCTCCCCACGCAACCATGCATCCCTTACTGCGAGGCGGTGAATGCGCTGGGAGACCCAAAAACGATGCTGCGGGCTCGCATTGAGCATCGGCATCCACACACGCTCTCTCTCTCTCTCCCGCAATGGTATGATATGTGTGTGTGTGTGCTCTTTGCTTGCTGCTTTCATGTTGTTTTTGAAGTCCTCTGTCGTGCCATTCCACCACCACCCTCTCCCTTCTCTCTTTCTCCTCCCCTTTGTTTCCTTTGTCTTCCTCTCTCTCTACCCCTCCACTCCTGTTTTGATTGGATGGCGCTACTGTTTTTCTTTTCTTGATTCTGCTTGCGACGCACGTTACTCCCGCTGTGCATGTTGAACGCACCCGCCGGCTCAGCGTGTACTGCGTCTGCGGCTGTCTCCCTCCCGCTTCCACAGCGGCGGCGTCAGCCCCGAGACGTGGCGGGCCGCCGTCGCTGCATTGCTGTCCCACAGTGTCTTGCATGTAGCTCTCGCCCGATCGTGCGTCCAAGATTTGGTGAGGTTGAGGTTAAGTTCGTTCTTGTTTTTTTTCCCCCTTTGACTGTCTTGGTCTTTTCTGTGTTTTTCTTTTGTTTTTGTTTTCAGTTATGCGTTCCCCTTCTTATTTGTGCGCGTGCCGATGGATTACATTCCCCCCCTCCCCCTCTCTTTTCCCTTTGCTTGTGTACGCGGGGCTATGGCTGCGTCTCTCTCCCCCTCTCACGCTCTGGCTCCTCGCTTGTTGCCTTCACACTCCTCGTGTGTTCGGAGGCAGTGGGCGGACGCTGTTGCCTTCTGCCCTTCCGCAAGTAGTATAAGGATAGCGCAGCACGAGTGGTGCCCCCTGCGGGTTCGCGGCGCAGTCATTAGTAGCCGCGGCGGCGAGCAGGCCTGGTAGTCGAGCGGCGGCCACGTTGAGTGCCGTTGTTGTTGTATTTTTTTTGTTTTTGTTTTTTTTTCTTGTTTTCTCTCCGCGAGTCAGCGCGACGCCCTCGCTGTGGGAGTACGGCCCCCGCTGCATGTGTCGTGTGCTGCCGGCGCCCATGGACCACCCCTACGGGCGCCCGCACATCATTTCCTCCCACGAAAGCGGCCCCGTCCCGTACGCGATGGGGCCCGCCTCGCATTGGGCGCCGGTGCCGCGGCCGCCCGGCCGGCCGGTGCCTGCGCGGCGGTTCCTGCGTGCCCCCCACGCCGGCTCTGCGCCGTTGGTGCCAAATGTCCAGCAACGTGTCATGCGGCACAACATGGGAAAGTGCACACATGGAAACGTCGTCATGTGCATGAATGCACACAATGCCGAAATGAACTCCTTGAATCGGCGTGCGAGTGGGTATAAGCAGGGAAACGCGGCGTGCATAAATAGGCACAACACGGATAACAACTCATCGGGCAGCAAGGCGGGGAATATACCGGCAAACGGCGCTCTCTGTCTGCCTCGTCGCGGCGTTCGCATCACCTTTCTGCTTAGCACTCCAACACCGCAGGGGTTGGAAAATAGTAGTACGGGCGGGAATCAGTACAGGGCTTGCTCAGACAGCACTGCCCAGGCACAACACGACCCGCGAAGTGATAGTCGCAAGGCAATCGCTGGAGATGAAGTGGTCGTGGATGCTACTGGGATAGGGTGTAACATATCTCCAGTTACAGGAAAGCCGGTTGTGGCCCGAGGCCCGCAGCCCGCCGTTGTGGCACCCACGCGATTTAAGGAGCATCACTACAAGCGCCCACGGCATCGCCATAAGGAGGATATCCCCGACCCGGCACGGGAATGGTGGGTGGAGGGGCTTGTGCAGACGCGACGTGTGCCTTCCCCGTCGTCCTCCCATCGCAGGTCCTCCGCGGAGGGCGGCAAACAAAAGCCAGGCGCAGGCGCAAAAGAAGCCGGCCCTCCAGTCAAAAATTCCAAGTTTGTGAATGCCTTTCTGGGCCTTTTCAAGTAACTCGCCTTCCGCGTGTGCCCCTTTGTTTGGGGGGCTTTCATTTGCGCGTGAAGTGCGTAGGCATGTGTGTTTGTGTGTGTGTGTGTGTGAGAGAGAGAGAGAGGGTCGCTGGTGCGCTGCGCGCAAGGCATGATGTGGGCGGCGTGCGCCGCGGTCGGGAAGGCGTGGGGGGGGGACGCCGGAATAAACGAACAGATGAAAAAGCAAAAGAATATGAAAAAAAAAAGAACCAACAACAACAATAAAAAAAAGAAGGAAACAAAAATGGGTGTCGCTGACAGGTGTGTGTTTTCTCTAACTGCAAGTGGGTGTCTGTTACGGCTTTTTTTTCTTTGCTTTT